CTTAACAACAGTCCAATAGTTTTCCCTCTCCAGTTTTCGGGTAAACCAGTTCACGAATCCGTCCCAACCACAAATTCAGGGAAAGTTTTCCCTAAGGAGGTCCTACTGAAGGTCTTGAACACGGCTCTACCAAGTAGTATGAACTTTAGGAAGCAAATAATTGTTTAACTTGCAGATTTCATCAGTAATTTTTGTAATGAGACTATAATATAGAAAATAATATATATATAGAGAGAAAGACAGTGTGTTTGTGTGAATTATGAGCTGGTCCTCTGAGAGTGAGGCAGTTTGAGGTAGCATACAAAAATGATAAAGTAAGTAACAATGCAGGGAAATCGAAAATATGAAGACCAAGATGGTGTAGCCCTCGGTATGGTCGTAGTCTCCTCTAGATTTACAGAAGTGGGTTGACCTCGTTTTGGCTACTTGGTCTTGTCGTCAGGGCGACATAGTTGAACGCCCCTCGTCCGAAGTCCTCTGTCATTGCAGTTATCATAATTTCCAGCATCACACCGTGGGCTTGGTACATTCTCAAGTACTATGGCAGAAGACTTCGGACAAACTGCCTTTTACCGAGTCGCCCTGACAACAAGACCATGTTGCGAAAACGAGGTCAACCTATTTCTATAAATCTACAGGAGACTACGACCATACAGAGGGCTACACCATTTTGGTCTTCATATTTTCGATTTCCCTGCATTGCTACTTACTTTATCATTCTTGTATGCTACCTCAAACTGCCTCACTCTCAGAGGACCAGCTTATAATTCACACACACATACATACACACACTTTCTCTCATTATCGAAATTACCGATGAAATCTGCAAGTTTAACAATTATTTGCCTCCCAAAGTTCATACAACTTGGTAGAGCCGTGTTCAAGATCTTCGGTAGGTCCTCTTCAGTGAAAACTTCCGATGAAGTTCTGGATAAGTTCATCACTTTCTGGTCCAGTCTATCCTTCCTTGGTCTCCCCTTTCATTCTCCGATATCTGATTCCAATGCCTAAATTATTAAGTTTCTTGTCGGGGGCAAAAACTCTTTTTTTTACATCTTTACCACTCAAGTGTGGTTTACATGCTAATTAATAAATACAATTTTTCGGTGCTCCTATGTTTAATATACTCACCAAATATTGTGCTTTAGCACATCTCAGATTCGGCGTCTACCGGCAGTACTGAGTCGGTGGCCATCGAACTTGACCAGTTTAGGGAAGCACTTGGAAGCATGGTACTTTTCAGCGTCGGCTTGTCGACCTGGTTCATTCTCGTGTTGGTAACCTTGTCCACATCGAAGCCGAATTTCATTGCAGCACATCGAGCGCATCTGTTGATATTTTAATTGTTTTCCGCATCTCATGAGTACCAAAAGCATCCAAGGCAATGAAGACATCTTCACGCAAAGAAACCCCTCGTTAGGCCGACTTTTTTCTAATTTCCATCAACTCGAGTTAGTGTTCTAGGCCGACCTGACGATTACACCACAGTCGAGTCTCTGTGACCTGTTGTACTTTAGCTTGACTGGGACGCTCACACTGACGCACACATCTCAAAAGAACCTCTTCCGGTTGCGTCTTCTGTCTTTTGCATGTCATTCGCCCGAAATGGCCGGCCCCATTGTGCGGCTTTCCAGTTGACTCTGTGGTACGACGGGAGTTGGTACCACGGCTGGTTGCGAGGCCTGTGACGGTCCGGAATTGGGGCAAAATCACACCTCCGCCAGACCTCAGGCGATCCACCGTCGTTGTTCTCCCACTTTCTTCACAAGCACACACAAGCGCACACCCAAAATAGCGTATACT